CAAAGGAAATAAATGAGAAAAATAAAAGGAAGGATGAACAGATCAAATGGCCACCGAATATACTCGTCCCGAAGGAACGAAATGGAAAATAAAGAAAATAACAAATAAAATGGTCAGTGATCGAGAGCGATAAATAATAGTGGACAGAGAGTATAAACAGATATTGCAGCTCATACATCTACCACAGTTAATAAACTGATCATGATAGGAGAAATACACCCAAGGACCACTTTAAATCAAACCACACAACAGATCTTAATATACATAAATAGTATTTAAATAAAAACCTATTGCGTATAAACCAACACGATCTCCACACTTGCCAACGCAGAGCTTCTCTCAAAACCAACTCAAATTCCCCTGAAACTCACCTCACGGGGACCACTTGGTTGTCCCAGGTGGCGCCGCAACCAAGAGCCAGCTGGAAGCTTATAGAATGGTTGATTCCCACCTGTGGAGTCAACCAAAGGATGTCAGATTCCCGGAAAGGAGTTTGGACACATTAACAACTGGATACGTTCTAGATGAGAGCTATTCTGATAAGATTTAAAATGGATACGTTTTATATTTCTGATTAATAGAACAAAAATGAATACGTTCTAGATGACAACTTTCTGATAAAAGGTAAACAGCTTGTTTTAGTTGACAGCTATTCTGATAAAAGAATGAATTACCTGTTTGATTTAAAAATGGATACGTTCTAGATGACAGCTTTTCTGATAAAAAAAACATCCTGTTTGATTTAAAATTGGATACGTTTTAGATGATAGCTTTTCTGATGAGAGAATTAACGACATATTTGACATAAAAATGGATAAGGTATAGATGATAGCTTTTCTCATACAAATAAACGTTTAATTTAAAAGTGGATACGTTCTAGGTTATATTTTTTCCTGATCAAAAATGAACATGTTTGATTTTTCACTATTTCACTATTTCAAGAATAAGTCTAAATGAAAACTGCTCAATTACATACAATAAAAACAGAGCCAAACAAGAATCTTTCCTATGTGGATCATACATTTTCTGACCAAACTGTAACATAACATCTCTCTCTTGCCTGTATATCGCTGGTTTGAATAAGAGCTGGTTCAGAGGCCGTGGACAACATGGTGTACATTGGTAGGTCGTTGTCACAGTAATTATCTGGAAGACATGATTTGCAGAGTTGTTGAAATGCAGATCTGCTACAGTAAGGTGTCCGTTGGGGGAATTGTTGCAATACAGATCTACTAGAATAAGGTGTCCATTCGGGGAATTATTGCAATACAGATGTACGGTAAAACGTCCATTGGGAAAATTGTTGCAAAACAGATCTACGGTAATATGTCCACTAGGGATATCGTCGCAATATAGACGTACGGTAAATTTCCCAATGGGGAAATTTTTGCAATATAGATTTATGGAGGTGTGTCCACTGGGGGAAATTGGCGCAATGTAGATCTGCGGCAAAGTGCCCACTTGGGTAAGTCACGAAAATGTTATCTTACCGTTTGGTGTCCTCATCCCATGGATTTTTAAGAAATATTTATGAGAATGATATGTATACGTAAACATACAATTTTTTCTGTGCATGAATGGGCGTAAATAAATAAGTATAATGATATATAAATACGCTATTAGCAAGCCTCTAAAACAAGCTAAGAAACATACAAAATCCTCCTAACAGATAAACAAAACAAACAAGCACACAGCAGCGCCACCCTCACCTATGCGCCCATTGTACCGCCTCAGCCACATGGGCGGGACCAAGTCATCGGGGTGGGCGTAGGTGAGCGCGTCGGGGGGCGTGGCGTTGCCGCCCACGAAGACCGCGTCGATCGCCCAGTCCAGGCGGTTTCTCTCCTGCGGCGCCGGCTGCCACCACCGCACGCGGCCGCCCTCGCACCGCAGCGCCCGCGGGATCTCCAGCCACACGTACCTGCGGGCGGGAGGAGGGAGAGCATGGAGCATAAAAATAAGAACAAACAAGAAACAAACGACAAGAATAGAATGGAAGCAAAACATAAGCCAAGCGGACGCACGTGGGCTGCTGGTGCACGAGGAGCAGCTTCTTGGCGGTGGCCCACGACACGCCCGCGTCGCACGAGAGCTGCACCAGGAGGGCGTGGGCGCCCCCGGCCTCGCGCCCGGCCACGGGATCCAGGCAGCCCGTGCGGAGGTCGAACTGCACGAACAGGCTCTCGCGCAGGTCCAGGTCCTCGGTTTCCAGGTATCTGCTGCAGCCCTGGGGGGCGAGGGAGACGGGGAGGGAGGTGAGAAAGGGGAGAGTGGTGGAGGGGGGGAAGGAAGGAAGGGAGGAGAGAGGGAGGGGAGGGAGGGAGGAGGAGGGTGTGAATTAGGGAGGAAAGGGGGAAAGGGAGAGGGAGGGAATTAAGGAGGAAGAGGGGAAAAGGAGAGGGAGGGAAGGGTGGGGCCTATAGATGGAGGGAGTGATGGAAAGCAGGGTGTAGTAGAGAGAGGGAGGGATTCTGTTCTGAAGGGTGACTGAAGGTGTGAAGGATTGAGCTGTGAAGTGGCTGATAACAAAGATAAAAAAAAGCAAAACGGCAATCTAAACCCAGCCCGCCACACGCGCACCCACACCCGCTCCTTACCCCGACCAAGTGCAGCGCCGACCCAGCCCCCACAGGCCCACAGTGGTCCGTGACGAGCGCCCCGGCAACCCTGCGCCACCTGCCGGGGGTCACCGCGCCCTCGAAGTCCTCAGCTAGGAAGGTGGGCAGAGGGCGCTCAGGACTCTCGCAGCTGGTACCTGTGGGCGGGGGATCATTTATTTGTATGAACTCTAATAATATCTTAGTTCATATATGCAATATATAAGATTTACAACTCAGTCGAGTAATCTTTCTCTCTATTAGGATTCTTGCAGTGCCAATGTATATATTAAAAAAAATGTTAATTATATGATTTGATTATAAAAAAACAATATATATAACATACAGATGTGTTAACCGATTATGTATTCTGTATCTTATGTATTATATATTATGTATTATGTATTTCAAAATCATCAATACTAACAAAAATATTCACGAAACACATGTAAGAGCAAAATCTAACCAATACTTGATAATGATTTCGTTCTTCTAAATCACCAAATTTATCAACATTTTCCTCTTTTATTCTTTTCCGAGACTATTCTCTGCAAAACACACTTATCACATTACAACGAAATACCAAAAAATATGGGAAAAAATTCAAATGCTTTCCCCTCTCTACTTCATGACATTTTTTTCTGAGCCAGTTTGTTATAAAATTAAACCCTTTTTCTCTTTTCCTCCCCCTGCACTGCCCTTTTTTATGTCCTTTCCTTCCCTGAAACGCTCTCTTGCCCTTTCTTTTGGCACCCCCCCCCCCGCACTCCTCCCTATCTGGCACTCCTCTCTCCCCTTTCTCTTCCACTCCCCCCGTCCCCTGGCACTCTCCCACGCCATCACCCGACCCACCTGTCCATCCATGCTGGCACTGGCACACCCCTGCGTCGCAGAAGCCCCTGGCGGAGCACCTGTGGAAGCACTCGTCGCCGATGTACACGTGCGAGAGAGCCCAGCTGTGCTGCTGTCGCCAGCCGTCCCTCTGACGGAATCGGACGCGGGTGCGTTCGGACCTGCGGGCGGAGGCGGATATGCTCAGGAGTCTGGTGGAGGTTTGGCATGTCCTTGTTCATTAACATGTTTTCGTTGCTGTTGTTAATTTATATTCTTGTTAATTTATGTTCTTGTTCATTTATATGTTTTTGTCTATCTAAATGTTTTTTATTCTTTTTTGTGGAATATCTATTTTTCGGTTGTTTGTTTCATCCTTTATTTATTCATTTCTTATCTATATATTTCTATTTTTGGAAAAGTGAGTATTTTTTCTTGTCTTTTTTGGTTAATATATATACATATTTAGCGTCTCAATATTAATTTTATGTGTCTCTTAAACTATATACTATTCCAGGAAATTTCTTATAAAAAATATAAGTTTCAAAGAATGTTAGTCAGACCTGCGAATGGATAGATATTCTTTTAACTTTTTATTCAATTTCTGAGAGTGCTTTTGGTATTCTTTGGTTTAGTTCCGTTACAACTCAAAAATATGAAAATACTTGTTAATCTGACAAAATGTCTTCTTTACTTCAGCCAAACAACCGCAAAAGAATATATCAACTCACTTTCAAAATTGAAATCCCATTCAATATCCTCGTGATCTTCCTAATACAAAAATAACATTGAAAACAGTACTAAAGCTTCTCCATTTTACAATGCCACGTCTCTTCTGACAGATCTTCTGTCCTCGCTCAAAGTCCCGACACATTCCTTTTAGTTTACTTCAATCAAGCAACCGTAAAAATAAATAACTCACTTTCAGTAAGCTCTTCCTCAAAATCCTCGAGACGATCTTATTGCAAAAAACTTCTAATTTGTACGAGACAACGCTTCATGTTTTTCCCTGCACATTCTTTTTTTCTTACTTCAATCAAGCAACCGCAAAATAAATAAATACCTCACTTTTAAAATTCAGATCTGCTCAATATCCTCGCGTTTATTTCGATACAAGAAGATTAAAATCATTTAGGCTTCTCAATTGTACAAAGCCATGTCTCTTTTTTTCAGAACTTCCGCCAACACTCCCGCCGACCTACCATGCGCGGGGAGGCACGAGCATAGTGACCTGCGTTGGCGTTGCGTGCAGGTCAGAGGTCAGGCTGGAGTTCGGCCAATACTCGGTGCAGTCGGGATCAGAGGGCAGGCAGTGATCTCTCACGGGCCACCAGGTTGACCCGTGGTCGACCGAGAACTCGAGCTCCACCTCTGCGGGAGAGCGAGGGAGATCAACGGAGGTCGATTTGAAACGAAAGGAAATCGTTACTCTTCATTTTCTTATTATTTCCCTTGTGTGTGTGTGTGTGTGTGTGTGTGTGTGTGTGTGTGTGTGTGTGTGTGTGTGTGTGTGTGTGTGTGTGTGTGTGTGTGTGTGTGTGTGTGTGTGTGTGTGCGTGTGCGTGTGCGTGTGCGTGTGTATGTATATATGCATATATATATATATATATATATATATATATATATATATATATATATATATATATATATATATATACATGTACATATTCATGTGTGTGTGTAAATAAATATATATTTATTTTTTCCTTTCTTTTTCCTTTTTCTCATTTTCTTTAAGCCTTCTTGTTTCTTGTTCCTACAAACCCAACCTATTAGCCACAAAATCAATTCAATATTATCTCCCTATTTTTTTCTCAAACCCAAAGCAAAAGCACACAAAAAACATCAACCAAAAATAATGAAAAAAAACCACAAAAATAATAATAATAAAGACTAAAAAAGGAATGAAAACTCTTTGGCTCACCGAAGCAGAATCCGGTCTCCTTGCAGCCCATGGCAATCGTGAACTGAATGAAGCTGTGCTCATTCATCAGGATGTCCGGAGTCTCGGCAAAGCGGTAGCCTTCGCGACCTGAAGCGAGAGGAAGTGAATAGCCTTGTGCGTTTGGGGATTTCATCTTAGGACTGTGGTTAAAAAAATCGAAAAAAATATTTAATCTATTTAATCTATTATATTTAACGTTAAAGTTTTTTTTTTAATTCTTAATCTAAATGATTCTTAAAGAAAGGGAAATGATTGAGTTCTTGGAATAAGACAAGAGATGGTGTACAGGCAAATGTTTGTGGTTATTTTGTTATTTGTTGAACATGGTGAGGTCAGATTATATAAAAGGTTGGTTAACACTGTAGCATGAAATAAGCATTTTTGTTGATGCAAAAAAACAAAAACAAGAAACAAACAAACAAAAACATTCTCACACATTCAATCACGGACACACGCACATAATCAAACACACACAAGATTGCACACACACACACACACACACACACCACTGAAATGCAGGCTGTGGTGCTCGCGGCCGCAGACGGCCTCCTCCACGGCGCCGGGCGCCAGCAGCCAGGGGGCGCTGGAGTCCAGGGCCGTGAAGGCGGGCAGCTCGCGCGCCAGGCTCGAGATGTACACCTGCGACAAAATTGAGAAAATTGAGAAAAATGAGAAGAAGGATAAGACTAACAAACTGACAAGATTAAAAAGACTGACAAAAATGAGAAATTTGAGAAACGTGGAAATTAAGAAAATTGAGAAAATCAAGGAAATTATAGGAATTAAATAATCAAGAAGAAAATTACGAAAATTGGGGATAAAAGAGGATATATAAGAAGGGAAATGAAAGAAAATAAGAAATTTAAGATAATTAAGAAAAATGAGAATGGTAGGATGGAAATGTAAACCCGGGAGGAGGAGGAAAAAGAAAATTAAATAGATTGGGAAAGTTGAGAAATTTGAGAAATTTGCGACCATTAAGTTTTTTTTTTTTTTAATTAGCGAAATAACTAAACTACAAATAATAAACCAAATACAGAAAATTTAGAAAACCAATAATTATTTAAACCAAGAAATTCACAAGAGAATTTTCATCATATTTTCTAAACCAAAAAAATTACAAACACACACACACAAACACACATATATATATGAGTGTGTGTGTATATATATATGTATGCATATATTTTTTTTCTATCTTTACATATATATTAAGAAAAAATCAAATATCACGAAAATCACGTACATAAAAAAAATAATAATAATAACAGCGAAAAAAAGTCAATCAACATGAAAACGCATGCGCAGGCCGCTCCTCACCTCGTCGATGGACCACATGCCGGCGAATTCCCCGCCAGTCGAGGGCTGCCACCAGCGCAGGCGCGTCGCGTTCGACTTGGCGGTGTCTGAGGGGGGGAGGTGGAGTGAGGGCGTTAAGGGACTGGTGGGGGGTTGTTGGGGGGGAGAGGAGGGAGGGGGGGAGGAGAGAGGGAGAGGGAGAGAGAGAGAGAGAGAGAGAGAGAGAGAGAGAGAGGGAGAGGGAGAGGGAGAGGGAGAGGGAGAGAGAGAGGGAGAGGGAGAGGGAGAGGGAGAGGGAGAGAGAGAGAGAGAGAGAGAGAGAGAGAGAGAGAGAGAGAGAGAGAGAGAGAGAGGGAGAGGGAGAGGGAGAGGGAGAGGGAGAGAGAGAGGGAGAGAGAGAGAGAGAGAGAGAGAGAGAGAGAGAGAGAGAGAGAGAGAGAGAGAGAGAGAGAGAGAGAGAGAGAGAGAGAGAGAGAGAGAGAGGGGGGGGGGAAGAAAAGGGAGGAAAGAAAGGAATGGGAGGGAGGGTGGGAGGGACCAAAGAGAGAGAGAGAAAGGGAAGAAAAGGAAGGAAAAAAAGGATTGGGAGGGAGAAAAGGAGAAAAGGGAGTGGGAAGTGGAAAGAGGGAGGAGTGGAAAAGAGAAAGGAAGGTAAAGAAAAGACGAAAGAAGAAGTTGAAAGCTGAGAAAAAGTGGAAGTGAAAGGAGGAGATAAAGAGAAGACAGGAAGAACAAAGGAGAAAGGTGGAGAAAGTGGAAAAAACATGAAAAAGAGCGAGGAAGAGAAAAGAAACGAGAAAGGAAGGAGTGGAGAAGCTGAACAAGGAGCAACGGGGACATAGATTGAGCAAGAAATGATATTTAGAAAGAAAATTAAAATGCCTTTCCTCCTCCATTCTTCCAACAACCTATACACACAAAATAGTAAACAGAAAAAAAACAATAACAATAACAACAATAATAATAATAATATTGATAATAATAATAATAATAATAACAATAATAATAATAACAATAATAATGATAATAACAATGTTGATAGGAACAATTAAGAGAATAATGACAATAATAATGATGATAATAATAATAATAATAATAATAACAGTAACAATGACAACAGTGATCATGATAACGCCAATAATAATGATAACAATAACAATAACATTAACCCGCCACAGACAAAGAAAGTAACCAAACAAAAAAATAACACCTTAAAAATAACACCCCGCCCTCACCTGGCAGATTGATCGTCACGTGTTGTGTCATTGGTTGACGTCCCTCCGACCCCGCCCTCGACTCCGCCCCCGACTCCACCCTCGCCTCCGGCCCCAGCTCCGCCAGCTGAGTCCATGTAATTCCTCCGTCAGTAGAGAACTGAAGGAGCACGAGGGAGTCGTCCGTCCCAAGGTCGTCGGGCGTGCAGCCGTAGCGGATGTAGAATTGCACGACGCTGGGTGGGCGGGCGGGGAGAGGGAGGGAAAGGGGCGAGTTATGTGCTTGTTTAAAATTTGTTCCAAGATGTATTGGCTAATGGACCGATGGGCGGACAGATTTGCATAGATAAACGGACTGACTGCTAACTGATTTATCGATAGATCAATAGGTACATTTATCGATACATCAATAGATAGATTTATCGATAGATCAATAAATTTATCGATAGATCAATAGACAGATTTATCGATGGATCAATAGATCTATCGATAGATCAATAGATTTATCGATAGATCAACATATTTATCGATAGATCAATTGATAGATCTATCGATAGATCAATAGATAGATCTATCGATAGATCAATAGATAGATTTATCGATAGATCATAGATAGATTTATCGATAGATCAATAAATTTATCGATAGATCAATAGACAGATTTATCGATGGATCAATAGATCTATCGATAGATCAATAGATTTATCGATAGATCAACAGATTATCGATAGATCAACATATTTATCGATAGATCAATTGATAGATCTATCGATAGATCAATAGATAGATCTATCGATAGATCAATAGATAGATTTATCGATAGATCAACATATTTATCGATAGATCAATAGATATATCGATAGATCAATAGATAGATTTATCGATAGATCAATAGATTTATCGACTAATCAAAAGATTTATCGATAGATCAATAGATTTATCGATAGATCAACAGATTTATCGATAGATCAACAGATTTATCGATAGATCAATAGATTTATCGACAGATCAATAGGTACATTTATCGATACATCAATAGATAGATTTATCGATAGATCAATAGGTAGATTTATCGATAGATCAATAAATTTATCGATAGATCAATAGATTTATCGATAGATCAATAGATTTATCGATAGATCAACAGATTTATCGATAGATCAATAGACAGATTTATCGATGGATCAATAGATCTATCGATAGATCAATAGATTTATCGATAGATCAACAGATTTATCGATAGATCAATAGATAGATCTATCGATAGATCAATAGATAGATCTATCGATAGATCAATAGATAGATTTATCGATAGATCAACATATTTATCGATATATCAACATATTTATCGATAGATCAATAGATATATCGATAGATCAATAGATAGATCTATCGATAGATCAATAGATTTATCGACTGATCAACAGATTTATCGATAGATCAATAGATAGATCTATCGATAGATCAATAGATAGATTTATCGATAGATCAATAGATTTATCGATAGATCAACAGATTTATCGATAGATCAACAGATTTATCGATAGATCAATAGATTTATCGACAGATCAATAGCTTTATCAATAGATCAATAGATTTATCGATAGATCAATGGATAGATTTATCGATAGATCGATAGATCAATAGATAGATTTATCGATAGATCAATAGATTTATCGATAGATTAATAGATTTATCGATAGATCAATAAATTTATCGATAGATCAACAGATTTATCGATTGATCAATAGACAGATTTATCGATAAATCAACAAATTTATCGATAGATCAATAGATTTAGCGATAGATCAATAGATAGATTTATCGATAGATCAATAGATAGATTTATCAATATATCAATAGATTTATCGATAGATCAACAGATAGATTTATCGATAGATCAATAGATTTATTGATAGATCAATAGATAGATTTATCGGAAGATCAATAGATTTATTGATAAATCAATCAATTCACTGAATGACAAAGATACTGATTAATGGAAAATATTTTGATCGATAGACAAATAAACTGACTGATAGATAAAAAAAAATATTGACAGAATAAATAAATCAATTAATCAAATAAAATTTTGAGAAATATACCTTATATATTTTTTCTTGTGTCATTTGCATGCCTAAAGAACAAGACAGAGGAGAATGAAGGAGGAACAAAAGAGAAATAGAGAGCGGAAGAAGAAGAAACGGAGGAGAAAGTAAACACAGAAAATAAAAGGAAACAAAACAAAAAGAGAAAAGAAAGGAAGAAACGAAGCATAACAACAACAACAACAAAGAAAATACGAAAAAGAAATAAAAGAAAACAAAAACTAAGCGACGGATGTAGAACATAAAGAGGAGAAGAGAAAAGAGTAGAAAAAGAAAAAGAAGACATGGAAAACGGCGGATAAATAAAGAGAACAATATTTCTGTTTCACCCTTTATGCGAAAGACATAAATAGAAGAAAAAACAAAGAAAAACGACAAAGAGAAACAGAAGATGTAGGGGAACAGAAGGGAAAATGAAATAAAAGAGAAGAAAACAAAACTGCAAAACAGATAAAACAAGAGAAAAAAAAGGTGATTCTTTCCAAAAAATGTATTTCGCGTTCGCGTGTTTATTTGACGATAATCGGCGACGATTATAGTTATATTATAGTTCTATACCATTTTTGGTTGGCGGAAATCCATATTCAGTCAACAATCTTGATTTGTTAAGTCCCGATAGTAGGGGAGGGCATGTAGTATATCAGGAAAATTATGGGGTAAAACAGGCGTAAATACAATAAATATAATGTAATGCATGAAACAGGAAAAGAAAGTCGTTAAGATCAGCTCAAGAAACTTTACGGACACTCTACGCCCGCCAACATCGAAAGTCTACGGCCCGACACGCCACGTAAAAAAAAAAAAAAAAACTACGTCTCACAACGCTACCGTTCAAAAAAGTCTAGGAAGACCTGCCCGTGTTCATTAAAATCTACGGAAATGCACATCATTATCAAGCTGTGAAGCCACGTTTATACACAAAACCTTACCGGACCACCATACATTGGGGTATTTACTGGATTTCCGCCAACCTAAAATGGCATACAACTAAAGTATACCTATAATCGTTGCCGATTATCGTCAAATAAACACACGAACGCGAAATACATTTTTGGAAAGAATTACCAAAAAAAAAACATAATAAGGAGTAAGAAAATAAAAAAAACGAGAGAAAAAAGACATGAGAAAAAGAAAAAGGGAAGAACCATCAAGCACAACACGTCCTCGGCCTCACCCTCCAAGCTCGAGGTCGAGGTCCCTGGTGACGAGCGCCCTCTCGCCCTGCTCCGAGAACACGAGCGACTCGCCCGTCACGACGCCGCAGAAGCGCGAGACCTCGCTGCCCGCCCACCGAGAAAACTGCTCCGCTAAGTCGGATCCTGGAAATGAATTGGTTGTTGTTGTTATCATTATGATTATTAGCATTATAGTTATTATTACTATTTTGTTATCTGCTTAATGTTGGCGTTTTTTCACCTAATTAATCTTGTAATTTAATCTTCTGGTCGGATGTTAAGACTTTATATGAATGACGCCTCGCCGCCTCCGCGAAATCGCTCAGCGAGGTCGGATCCTGAAAATGAATCGCTGTTTTGGTATCTGCTTCATGTTGGCGGTTTCGATCAATTCATCTACTAATTTAATATGATTTAGCCTGAAGGTATAATACGAATGACACCTCGCAGCCCGCTGGGTCGGATCCTGAAAATCAATCGGTTATCATTATCATTATTTCGTTGTGTACTTAATGCTTTTTTCTGCCTAATTAATCTTTAATCTCATGGCGGATGTTATGATTTTATACGAATGACACCTCGCTGTCTTCTTTTCCTTCTCCACCTCTCTACCTCCTTCTCCCTTCTCCTCCTTTCTTCTTCTCCCTCTCACTTCCCCTCCTCCTCCTTTCGCGCCCTCCCCCTTCCCTCTTCTCCCACTTCCCCCCACCTTTCCCTTCCCCTTCCCCGCCCGCAAACCCACCTTCAAAGTCGTGCATCAGCGTCTGCGGATTTTCCACCTCGAGATGGCAGCTGCAGCCTCCCTCATAGGCCTCATCGCACTCGCACTTCTCCCCGCCGAGGCAGGAGCCGTGGCCGCCGCAGTGGTCGACGCAGGAGGGCCCCACGTACACGTTGTCGACGGCCCAGGGCACGGAGGCCTCGCGTGCGCCGTACGATCCCTGGTGCCAACGGAAGCGGACGGTGCTGTGGAGTGAGGGTGGGATTGGGCTAAAAATAAGGGGAAATTTGGGAAGAGGGGGGAGTTAGGGGCAAATGAGGGAAACTGGGCTAAAAAAGGGGGGGGGGAGGTAATGGATTATTAGGGAATTGGTGTCATCGGAGGCATACGACGCTGTTGGGTGAGGGGGAAAAGGGTTGGAAGAGGGTGAAAATGAGGGGAATAATCATGATGCATTTGGATGGCAATTAGGGTGTGAAAGTGTGGGTCATAAGGATGGCATACGATGAATAAGGGTAATTAACAACACATGAGATATCTCTGAATTCATCAGCCATGAAGGCAGATGCAGTTTTAGGTTCTCACTGACTTTGCTGTGCGGTTCAAGATC